AAACATAAATAAATTTTAATAGTTAATATAAAAAAATTCTTTTATTATTAATTCAGCATGAAAATTTGAAAATTTATTGTTAAATAAAGTAGACGCGTAAAAGTTTCTCTTCTAGTATAATCGTTGTGTTAGATTTCATTACTGTATTAACAATATTTTAACTAATTATAANTTGTGTTAGATTTCATTACTGTATTAACAATATTTTAACTAATTATAAACTATAGTAAAATAAAAAATAGCTTTTTATTTTAATGATTAATTATTTCTTACTTCAATTTTGACAATTATTGGTTGATTCGAGAGTCCATTCCACGGGATGTTCACATTGAATTTACCCACTGAACCGGCTTTTACTTCAATGGGTAGACCAAGTTCATACTTAATAACAGGATAAACATTTCAGTATTAAGAAGAAAAAAAATTGTATTTTTAGTATCATGATAAACTATCCTAGGATACTTACCAATGCTTCAGTTTTCAATTTCAAATTTGATAGTAACACATTTCCACTAAATATTCCAACATTTAAATTTTCTAAATCTAAATCCTCTATGTATTTACCTAAATATCTATTTAACAACGATGCTACTATTCCTTCAAACATAGTTTCAATCTACTATACTACAATAAGTTAACTATATAAACACAAACATTTCTTTAATTCTTACATTTTTTGTTAATATTATCGTTTTAAACGACTACAAGTGAATAAGTTCCGTATGGAACTATAAAATAAGGCGAGTGGAGAACCCTGGCGAGGAGCTTTGAAAGTTCAGATGTTATTGATCCATTGAAACACGTGGAAGTAGCCGCGTTGACGTCATTCTCAACCGATAATTTATACAAACAAATTATATTTTGTGGGGAAATTAATTTAAAACAAAATCATTTATATAAATATACAACTTTAATCGTAATTCAAGAACATCAAAAAGTAAACCCAATCCAGTAAAGTCTGGATAGGACATAGTAGAAATCAATATAATATTAAAATCAGTGAATTAAATTACTATAATAATAAACGCTACAATGTAAGTCTGTAGATTAAATTTTATTTTTAATAGAGATTTTTGAATTGTTAAAAGTCAGCCAATTTATAAATTGACTTAAAAAAATTTTAAAAATTGTTGTTATAATATCATCAAAAATTGACTATCATTGTTAAAATTTATTACTTTCCTAATATTTTAATAGTGCGATATCATCACTAGAAAAGATAAAAAAAATAAAAGAAAGTTCGATTATTTTGATCTTTGTTAGAAAATTATAATTTTAGTTGAAAAAGTTTTATTTATTACACATATTTTTCAAGTTTTTAACCTTCCAATATAAGGGGAAATGGTCAGACTAAAAAAAAAATATGTCGAATATATAAGAGATATGTATTAAGTATTTATAATAAAAATTTAATGATTAATATATTTTTTGAAAACGTATAGCAATATAAAGTTAAAAAAATAAAATAAAAATCGAGAATTTCATCACAAATATAGAGAGATGATCAAAAATTTTGATAGATACGAAAATAAAAATAAAAGGAGCACAGTGAAGTCGTAGCACAGTATAGACTTGTCATAGATGGAAGAAGTATAGATAATATCTGATAGTGATTAAAATCACTATCATAAGAAACTCTTCGATGCTATCTATAGATAGTATTTAATTTTTTGAAGGAATTGTTAAATTATTCCAAAAGCAACATCAACTCCTATTTTCTTAATTATATCCTGATTAGTAGATCTTTGACTTATAAGTATAATATATATGAATAAATACTAATTATAGTTATTAAATTTAGTATGAAATTGATATTCAATAATTTAATATTGCATATTTTGTTATTTTTCTGGCAAACGTGTATAAAAATTGAAAGGATTGATGCAAAACTTTTCCCAAAATAATGTTTTGTTAAGTATGAACTTGTCTATTAGGAATTTCAGAGTCAAAAAATTACTTTTCTTCTTCAATTTTTTATACTGTATTCAAATCTGCATTAGATTTTTCTATCATCTTTAATTTTTGAGATTATTAATAATTAGTAAAAAAACAAATATTTGATATAAAAATATATAAAAAAAAAACTAGGTTAAAATGAATTAAAAGTTAAAAATCAATAACACACCAACGGACAAAATCATTGGTGAAACTATGATGCGGTATATTTTTAATTATTAGTATATTATACCGTTATATTAATATAACTGTACCGAATATAGTTCTGAATATTTAAATTATAGCATATTTTTAAATACTAAGAGTTTTGTAGAAATGATAACCATTATTTTTATTGAAATTATTTAATTCAATATTAATACGAAAAATTTATGATTCAAATAGCTTAAATTTAAGTAAAAATAACAACTTGAAAAACCGGTGATTATCATATTAAAATAATATATTGTCTAACTTCTAATCATTTACAAGGTTTGTAAAAAAATAACAAGAATTTTCGTTTTTAGAAAAAAATATTTATTTATTAGTCTACATTAATGTCATCGCCTTTAAAAAAAGTCCCCATTAGATATTATGCAGTTGTGCCAACGCTTCTTCCAATCTTCGAAACACTTCTTAAAATCGATCTTTGGGATAGCCTTCAGAACAGTAAGCGATGCGCTATTAATGTTATCTATGATTGTAAAACGACGGGCCTTTAAAATTCTCTTTATTTTTGAAAATAAAAAAAATCACACGGAGCCATGTCTGCCGAATATGGACTGAGGCATCGTTACAGTATTCTTTTTGGTTAAAAATTCACGAACAAGCGATGAAGTGTGAGCAGGTGCATTATTATAGTACAAAAGCCATGAATTCTTTTACCACAAATCCGGGCGTCTTCACGCAAACAATGTTGAACTTTTAGGTAGTACTCCTTATTGACTGTTTGACCCCCTGGCAAAAATTAATAATGCACAATGCCATTAAAATCAAAGAACACAATGAGAATAACCTTCACATTTGATAGCATTTATCGAGCCTTTATGGTCTTCACGATCCAGAATGCCTCCACTAGGACGATTGAGCATTAGTTTCGACGTCGTATCCATAAACCCATGTGACGTCACCTATTATAACACGTTTCAGTAATTCTGCAACGTCAATGACTTCATCAAGTGACTTCTAAGCAACTTTCATTCGCTGCTGTTATTATTTAAAATTCAACAATTTTGGAACAAGTTTTGCTGCTACGTGTTACCCAAAACATTTAAAAGTTTCATGGCATGAGCCAATCGATATTCCAACTTTATCAGCGACTTCTTTGATTGTGATTCGACGATCATTCACAATACTTTCACTTTTTCCACATTTTCATCGGATGTTAATGTGCTAGTACATCTGGGGCGTTCGTCATCTTTAACATCTTCAATCATCAACATCTTTAAAACACTTATCCATCCCTCGAAATTTAAAAATTCCCGTTATTTTCTGAACACATCTAGTACATACAGAAGACAAGTTGTCAGGACAAATTTTGTTTCTTTTACTTATAGTATGTAACATAAGCTTTAATATAAAATATGTTTAACATTCGTAGAAATGCCAGAACATTTTCAAAAGTTATGTTAAAAAAGATAAATTTTTATGCAAAAGTTGCTATTTTGAATTTCCTTGTAGGCTAAAAGATCAGATTTTCAAAAAAATTATATTAAATGAAAGAGAAACATCTAAAGTGTTATATATAATAAAAAAAATATTTTATTTCGTTTGTTTACAAAAAAATAATCACAGTTTTATAAAAAAAAGACAAAATTTACAGGTTTAAAAAATTTTAATTGTTTGGGAATTTCCTCCATTTAAAGAAAACGAAAGAACTTATTCAATTTTTAAGGGCAATGTCTTCAACTAGATACGATTTGTGCTCTTTTGACGTAAAGTTAAAAAACATCTGTCCTATGAAAGCTGAGAAAAAGTGATGACAGACATAAAATACATCATAGTAAAATTAATACTTTCTCAGCTTCTAATCTAATATTAATTTGATACCTTTATAAGGTATAAGAGATAAATCGAAAAATTACTTAATAATCGAGTCAAAAAATATCTGTAATAAAAAACAAAAAAATTTCAAAAGTTTGTTTTATTTTATTCGTAAGTGAATGGGTTATAATAAACGGATCATCCTATTGATATCATACCTACATCTTTGTCGTAAAGGTTTAAATAGTTTTCAACCACTGCAAAAAGGAGAACTCCACTCTTCTACATTTTTCAACTTTTATGATTTTATATCAATAAAGTATTCATTCAATTTTTTACTGGAATTACCATTGAGCTCTTTTTTTTCGCACTTCAAAATCGTAATTTTGGTGTACTAACTTTACCCACAAGTATTAATAAATTTATACTTACAGAGGCAAATTTTCAACATATTTCTGGGGTCTTGATGTCATTTTAAATTATATAAATCCTTGAAAAATTTAACAATCAAAATCATTTCTAATGGCGATTACTATTGTGCATTGACAATAACAATGAACCAACATATGTTCTTTGATAATTTATATCAAAACATATTTTTTTTAGTCAATAACATCATATACTTACCAACTAATACACAATAAGTTTCATTTGATGATTTCCTGCATTTGACCTTAACAATGAATATAAACAGTTAAAATCATTATTTTAGTTACTAAAGCTTTATCATCAAGGGCAAATATAATTAATTCAACCATAAAAAGTAGAAATTAGAATTATTTCGAGCGTGAAATATGTTGTCCGATTTTACTTTATAAGTCTAGTGTTAATATTGCTGTCAACAGTATTGTACACATTCGTTTTTCGGTTGACAGTTTAATTCAATTACTTTGATCCCGTTCAATATGCAAGGAATTATTTTTGTTTATTTAGTGGCATTTTTCTACCAAACATTTGCTGCTAGCACAAATAAGGTAATTTTTTATCATTATCTAGTATGGAATTAACTCATTTAACTCTGATTTTTTTATTAGGATATTAGTGGACAGATGGTGTTGAAAAAACGCCAAAAGAGATCAACTGAGGAAGAATGTTTACAATCTTTATTCCCTAAATCACACGTGGTAATAAATTTTGCATATTTTTTAAACACTTCTTACTTTTAATGTAATTAAACATTCTTTAAATTTGCCAACACATACTCACATTTTAGTTCAAAAAGTTCATAAGATTTTTCATTTTTTTTGCCTAATAAATATTCTAATATTATAAAAAAATGTTTCGCATAATTGTTATTTGGCTTCCACACGATTTTTTCGATTTTATTTTTAATCAATTTATTTATTACACTGATTACTAATATGCAAAAATAAAACGTCCATCAAAAGTTATAGTACTTTAAAGTTTTCATATAACGCTATTATTAAATCATGCACACGTCATTGTTTACACGAAATTCTAATACAAACATTATGCCGTTTCATGTGACAACTCTTATTTGTTGGGTCACTGTATTTTTTTGTTTTGCATGTTTAAATAAGCTGAAATTTGTCTAGAGTTCCTTTGGAGATTTAGGGTAGCGAGCACCCATCTCACGAAAGACCTTTAGGGCTCAAGTCAGTTAACGGCAAGCGTTGGTGACCACAAAATTTGTTCTAATTAATTTATTTATTGACAAAATTACATTATTTCAAAAAATTATACTTTCAAGACGAATAAGAAGGAATAGACTTCCAAATTTTTAAAATTACAATTTTACTTATAGCAAATTTTAATTTGAGATAAATTTTTTAAATTGTTGAAAAAAAATATTTAGTAAGAATAGAATGAGGCGCAGCCTAATAACAGCGTTACATGCTAGCCTAAAAGTACTTGAATTTTTAACTATTTCTGACAGACATTTTATTTTTGTATTTAGTAGATTTTATAAATTTTTTGTAAGAAACAATCTAAAAATGCGTATTTTGAAATTTCGACAAAATTAAAAAAAAAATTGTATATTTTTTTTGTATTAGATACAAATTAACATAGTGATTAATATCACTATCATAAAAAACGCTTAGAAGTGAATATGTTAAATTTCACAATAATTTGTACATTTGTAATTTTACAGTTTCTATGTTTTAAAATTTGACTCAAATATTAATACCTTTTATATTATTTGTATAATTAAAAAGTTTTTTTTATTTTACCACCAATTTTTCAAAGTAGAATTACTTTGTGTCAAATCCTTCCTGTACTTAGGTTTATTATTGAATTTTCACAAAAATAATACCAATAGAAAGCTCACCGTTTCTTTTATATTGTATTAAAATTTCATTACGATTATAAATATTTAAAACTGCCAGTGTTTTTCTAATTTTCAATAACGATATCTTCTACTAGAATAAAATTGGGTCCTTTTGACACATTAATTGTTAAAATCGTTCAATGGAAGCTGACATTTTTCACGGATAAACATAAAAAAATTATATCATCAAATCAATATCTTCTCAGCTTCATATCGAAGCTAAAAAGAAATGAAAAATATTCCTTGGATCAAATGTTATTACAGTTGTCAAAACCTAATGGATGAACTGTATATAATTAATAAATCTTAGATTAATAAATATTTCTACAATCATTTCATTTTATAAGAATTTTGAAATGCGTAGTTTTGTAGTATAAGTAACAATATAATACATTGTTATACTAATATAACTATTTATCATCTCGTTAGCCTTCATCTCAACTATTTGGGGTAGGCTCTATCTTATTGATTTGACAGGTTTTTTAAACCAACTGTCGACTTGACACAACCTCATTATAGGTTGCTGGAAAGAACCAGCAAGGAAGCAAGGTGTGTGTCACAGTTAGAGTTCCCGTATGTTCACCCAACTGAATACTAATAGCAAACAGCGCAGCTGAACATTAGCACAGAGGCGTCCACTGAATAATCCACTGTGCCAACGCCAATATAATTATATATAATGAGTATTAAATAATCAAATAAGCTGATCACCTAAAATTAAATTATTTAAATGGAAGTTATTAAATTTGTTAAATAATGCAGAAATTTTCTTTATTCATATGACTAGCAAAAATATTTATTATTACTTCTGTATTTTTTGTTCAAAATGCATTTTTACTTCATACCAAACTAAAATAATCTTAGTTCTTTTATATATTATATATCTAATATATACATAAACAGGGTCATTTTCTTATCATGGCCCACTCAATTAATTAAATAGTAAAGATAATAAAACATTTTTTTTTGTTACCTTTAGTTACATATTATTCTTGAATTATTAGCTATGTTAAACTTAGCTAAAACTTCATTCCGTATAACTTTTAGGGGTGACAAGTGTATTTTTTCAAATGAAAACATATTTCGAATTTAATAAAATGTTTAAAGTTTTATTTTAGTAGTATATGACATTTGAGCTTTTACGTAATTTTATTCGTTTATTAGATATAAAACAAAAGTTATATATTTTTGAGTTAATTATACATGTATAATATATTAAGGATTACGAATACAGGTAGCTTATTGTTTTAAGATCTTTACACAAGAAAAGTCAAAATATATATCTAGAAAAGCGATGCACAGACAATACCTTCTACTCTCCAAAATACTCCACTTTATATTATAATTTTATTAATATATAAATATACTATTACAATATATTTAGCATACTTTAAATTGGTAAGTAACATGTACAATGCATTCTGTTTTTACATTAAATAATGTTCTATTTAAATAATTTTTTCAAAAAATTGTATATTTTATATATAAATGATTTAAGTTTGTTTAATTTAAGCAAATGCCAGAATGTTGTTCAATACCCAATATTCTAGCAAATACAGACAAAGCGTGGGATACATGTATTGAAAAAAGAAATAATACTATGGACAAGCCTCACCCTCTTCCTCCAGATCACAAAGAAAATGGAAAAGGTCATGGTAGGTTATTAAAACTAACTAGTGATCTATTAAGTTTTATAGAATTGCATAATTCAAATTAAAATTTATTGTTATACTAGATTTTTTGAGTTTCATACAATCTTGATTACTACTAATTGAATTAATGCAGTGATTTTTATAGCATCCATTATGAGTGAATTCTATAAATATTGATTTTTATATGGCGTGGATTTTAAAAAATATAAATGAAAGTACATACTAACTTTAGATTAAGCAAATAATTTTTACTCGTAATCTATACAATATTAAAATATTTTTGGATACTTTCAGGACCACCATGTTTATTCCAATGTGTATTCATAAATAGTGGATTAGCTGTAAGTTTAATATAAACCATGTTTGTTTTTAGTACATTTTTATTTTTTCATAGGACCAGGATGGAAAACTTGATGAGCAAAAAGTTTCTAGTAAAATAAGTGAAGTATTGAAAGGTGATCCTAAATGGGGATCTTTTGAATGGCAGCAATCATTAAATAAATGCTTTTCTGAAAGTAAATAAAATATTATAATTTTAATTTCTCGGTATTAAATCCGAAATTTAATTTTTAGTAAAAAATTTAAAAGAAGAACAAAATAATCATATGATGGATACACCATCAGGTAAATTAATGAAATGTTTCCTTAGAGACTTATATTTGGTAAGTAATAGTACTTAATTAAATACACCATTTTCAAAGCACTTTATTTTTTTTTTATGAGCACATTTAAAGATGGGTACATTATATAACAAATTTAACATAGTAAATGGTAAATAGTTACCCTAATTTAAATCTCCTAATAAATAATTTATACGTTTTTTTATTTAAATACCAGGAAGATTTTCATCCAAACTCAACCAAATATGAGATAAATAACCCTCACATTAATAGAAATTATTTAATAATAGATCATTTTTCATTTTATGATAACAAATAGGAATCAATCAAATTTAATATCTTAATTTAGAAAAGTATATTGACATACCTAATATTCTATCCTAAACTTATTTATAAAACCAATTGGTTTGAGGTCGACAGACCAAATTTATTTCATTTCAGTATACTATATTTAATAAATAAAAATTAATAATCTGAACATTCTTTTTTCAGAATTGTCCTTATAATGCTTGGGTAGAAAGTAAGTAATAAATAATATGTTTATACAAAATTTATACAAATTATTAATTTCATTCATCATTAAACAGGTTCTGAATGTACTAGCCAAAAGTCTTTAGTACAAAATTGTCCAATGTTACCACCACCAGTTCTTAAACACGGACCACCAAAAAAGAATTAATTTTCGAATTTAGAAGCAACACATTAAATAAATTATCTAGTAATTAAAGTTTAATTTTCACCAATATTTTACTAATACCAATTTGTATGTATTGAAATAAATGTAATTTGATAGTAGTTTTTAGCTTTATTTATTATAAGTGTGGACATAGAAACTGTTCATGCATTCAAATTCTATAATCCATTGTATTTACCTTGTACCAAATTTCAAAATAAAATATTTTACACTTAAGTGTAATATGTTCAGGTAATAAGGTATTTCAGTTGATTTTTTGACTCCTGTACTCAATAGTTAGAGATTCATCTACATTGTGATAATTGTTTATTCACCACAAAATGTCCCAGAGATGGTTTAACATTAATGTCTCATTGCTAACAGGGTTTATATTTAATGCCTCTTACCTAGTGTTAAAATTAAAAATTGGCAAACAATCTTCTATGGAGCCTCACTGTTTTTATATTCTTGTACCTATAATTTTTTTTTTATTAGAAATGTTAAATTGCTGTTTGCAAGCAGGTATGACAATGCCTACCAGCTCCAAAAATTGGAAACAACTCATTATATGATGAATAATGCATGTTTTTATCCCCCCCTGAGTGACTAGGTTCTATGGTGCTATTGTTCTCTTCATCCTTCAGTATCTAATACAGTTAAAATTAAATAGTAAATGTAATATTTAATGAAAAAAAAATAGATCAGTTTTTATCATTTCATGATTATTACCAAATAACAAAAGCAATAAAAATGAACAAAAAAAAAAAATTTATATGTAGAAATACCTTAATGATAAACATTATACATCAAACTTGGTAAAGGAGGAAAGTAGTTGAGAATGATGAAAAAGCATAAGAAATTACATTAATAAAAAATATTGACATTTTTAATGTCATATTTGGACTATGTAATACATATTTTTATCATGTAACTGCTTTTTTTTTAAGAACAAAAAGAACACAATGAAACTTAATCATTTGACAAATTGATCAAACTCATAGTAGCATGCCATATCCGAAAGTTCTTTTAATTGGTGTGAAATAATATCGCTCCCAATTCTGACGTGTAATTTCTTCATCACTGTAATACAAAAATGATATTAATTTTATAATTTACTTTAAATACAAATAATTATTAATTTTAAATAATTATTGTAACATAACTGATGACATAGATTAAATATGATTATATGAATAGTATGCGAGTAAGAGGTCTTTAAGAGTCTAAAATATGAACTAAGAGCATTAAACCAACAAATGATATCAAACATATTTTTTTTAAATATCTGTAAAAATGTGTAAAAATAAGCTAACATTCACTTATGACCTAACCATCATTTCCTCGCACCATTAAGTATGGTTTTAATGTTAACTTGAAATTTTTTTTATGTATGTAAAAACATCAGAATTTTGTGATAATAATTAAGACTTTATTTGGGAATCAAAAAAATAATTAACACACTTAATGTTGTTAAAAAAAACAACATTCAAAATAATGGTTAAAAAGTTGTTATTATATGTATGTATCAATTTAATATATTTAATTTAATATAATTTTAAGAAGATAGATTTTTGTGTTAATTAAATTGGGACAGCATATTAATAACTTCTGAAAAGAAATAATTTACCTAATCTTATACTCTTGAAAATAATGTGTGAAACACAGATAATGGATCCCTCTTTATACTATTTAGATTATATACAGAATGGAACTAATTTAACTGAAAACTCATATAACTTATGATCTACATAACATTTTATACTTTTTTTTTTTTTTTTAATCAATTTTTACAATATAGAACTATATTTAAAATATGTTTTATGTTATTTTTCGCAATTACAAAAAATATTTTAAAAATTAATTTTTTTTTAAGATTTGAAGATAGCCATTTTATAGATTAGTTTTAAAGAAAAAGGTTAATACCAAAAACTCTTATTTTAATTCAGTAGTTATGTATATACAGCATTTTGAAGTTTATTAAATTTTGATTTGTTATATTAATTTTCCTGTGGTTTCAAATATTAGTCTATATTATGTAAAGTATGAAAGTAAACACTTATTATGTTATTTACTAGTAACAGTATGCGATTCTTTTTCCATGAAAATTATTAACATTTGAATAAGCATTTGTCATTGACATGAAAAATAAGTAGTATAATGAAGATTATTAAAAAAAAATATAGAAACATTGTCTAAAACATATTGAGTTTTTAATTAAATAAACTTTTCTTTAAAACTTATCTATAAAATGACTATCTTCAAATCTTAAAAAAAATTTTAATAAAAAAATTAATTCTTAAAATATTTTTTTGTAATTGCGAAAAATAATATAAAACATATTTTAAATATAGTTCTATATTGTAAAAATTGATTAAAAAAAAAAAAAAGAAAATGTTATAAAAATCATAAGTTATATGAGTTCAGTTAGATCTGTTCCACCTAAATAGTACACAACAAGGAAATTAGATAATTAAAATAATAAATATAATAATGACAATGACAAAATTAGAAAGGGAACCTATCCAGTAATAGTAAATCAAGATTTTTTTTTACCTTATTTATTTTTATATATATGATGTATTGGTAAATATCTGTAATATGTTTTTTTTATTCAAGAATCTAATATTTGATGATAATCATAAGACATAATATAAATATTTATTGTTCTTATGAATAATATACATTTCTATGAACAAATAATAAAAAAACATGGCTTGACATGCACATGATACAGAAATTAATAATTTTGTCTACTCATTATAATAACATAACTTAAAATATAACGAGATATATAAAAGGTTTTACCTTTTTTAGTTAATTATAAATATTGAAAATTTGTTAATTTGTTAAAAATTATTGCCAAAAATAACTTTACTGCAAAAATTAATGAATTATCAGTAGCCAGAGAATACAACATAAATATTTTAGATTCTTTAGTAGGAAACATTTCTTGGCAAGTATTAAATTAGAATTAGAACCTATTAATTTAGAATTGCATTAATTGTGTAAACCTTAAAATAAAAATTATAGTGCATAAATTTTGAAAGTAAAAATTCAATATTCAAGACACTAGATTGCATTAAGTGATTAAGTGTAGGAAATGATAAAAATAAATTTCTAACTACTCTCCTAATAAAAGAATAAAAACGCACTTAATTCTTTTTTGTTTAATGTCATTGATAGGTTCTATTATCTTTACATGATGAATATTGAAATATTAAGTTACCTTTTAGGANAAAGAATAAAAATGCACTTAATTCTTTTTTGTTTAATGTCATTGATAGGTTCTATTATCTTTACATAATGAATTTTGAAATATTAAGTTACCTTTTAGGAACGCCTACAAGAGTAACATTGACTTTAGTATGATCTTCTTGTTGATTAATAGTTACAGTTACAGTTGAATATAACCAATCTGGCCATTGTTTAGTTTTCCAGTTTTGAACAATTTTTTTACCTGGACACTGTAATTAATGAATAATAATAATCAAATAAATTAAATTTTATTATAATTTTAGCTCACTCAACAAATAATAAATTAAGTCATTCATGACAATGTATTCATTTCTATTATGATTTTAGTTTTTCAAACAAATATCATTACATTTGTAAAAATAATGAAATTATAATTCTGGAAGTTTTTTTTTTATATAAATATTTTATAAATTTAATGTTTGTTATTAGTAATTGAAAAGTCAGCTTTGGTTTATTATAAAATTGAAATTAAATATTTGTTTTTCTCACTCTAAAAAGAGTAAATTGGTGTACACTTTATTTTAATTAAATATAAGACAATTATTTTAATGTTAGCTACTTGATTTCTCTTAAAATATTAATTATGTTATGAAAATTGTTTTTGATTTTCTTTAGTTTGAAATACAAGATGATTGTTGACTTAACATTATTGTAACATTTCTTCTAAAATAATAAAAAAAAAAAAGTTTTCTGGTTATGTTGAGTAGAATTAATTTACCACTTTATAAGTATTTAAATAGTTTTTAGATGTATTCCTTATCCTTATAATAGTGCTTTTACCATTTTTTCAAATGACATATTTAAACATATATATTTTACTAATTTAAACATTAGAAATTTAACTTAGAAAATAACTAGTCAATACACATTTTTAAATCTGTATTTCAGAAGTTAGAAACATTTTTAAACTAGGGTTAGAAAAGAAGTGTGACAGAGTGATAGCATTATAATGTCAACACCCTTATAAAATATAAAGAATGAACATAACAATTATTTTATAACATATAAATGGAAACATAAATGTAACTAATAAAAACCAAAAAATTAAATAAAAACTTATTATTTTAAGAGAAATTGAGTGATTAGCATTAAAAGAACCACTTTTTATAATAATAACTTCCAAAATACTGGTTTCAATATTAATATTGACATTATTATATTACAGAAGCTAAATAAAAATGATTTCTCATTATATCTTGGAAAGGTTTGAATATTTTTTTCTACAACTAAAATTATTTTTTGCAATTCATATATGTAGTTAGCTGATTAACATTATTATACCTAGTTGAGAAGAGTATGATTACGAAATGTCTAATAATAAACATTTTCATACCTAAGCCTCAACTACAGACTATATTTTAAAATATCAATAACTTTCAAAATAATACATCAAAAATTGTTTAGACCAATCAATTTCCTGATTAGATTCTTTTCTATATTATATAATTAAATATTTATGTTAAAACTTAAAAAAATGAAATTGATACCTTTATAAGATATAAGGGATGAACTATAAAATACTCAATAGTTGATAAATCAATAAATATATAAAACTACAAAATTCTTTAATTTACACATTTATTAAAAAATTTAAAGTAAAACATTAAAATAATTACACTATATTACCCTCAAATTAAATATAGAACTTTAATTTTTTCTATTATTTTAACAGTTTTAAAATCATAAAATATTTAATATGGGAATAAAATCAATATATGAAATAATTGAGTCACCTTAATCTTTATTTTAAACCATCATTATCTTTATCCTGAATACTATATACAAAAAAAACTTATTTTTTCAATAGTTAAGTCACTTAATAAACTTTATAAATATTATGAAAGACTTACTAATTCTAGAAACTCTCCAACTATATTCCCATCGAATAATTGAAATTTTGCTCCTTTGACTGTTTGGAACTTAACAGCTTGATTGGTAAACGCAGACACAAGCTTTAAAGTAAATAAATAATGATAATGAAAGATAAATAAATCAAATAAAATATTTATATATAGTTTATAAATTTTAACATCTAGTATAAACACAAAAATTATTGACAAACTAAATAATTATGAAAAAATTTAAGTTATATTAGATTAATTTAAAATAATTTACAATAAATAAAGTATAAGTGATAAATATAATCAATATAAAATAAAACATACTTCAGGTGTTGTAAGAACATTGTAAATATCATCTCCTGAACACTGGAATATTACATCCATAACAACTGTGGTTGTGTCAATTTTGGCCTTGGATCTATCATTTTTAGCCCCCTAAAATAATTAGAAAAATAGAAACCATTAGAAATAATAATAAAAATATAATTATAAAATTATAATTACTTACATTTTCAGAATTGTGAATTTTCTTTAAAGAATCATTAGGTAATTTTGTGTTTGAAGAATTATCATTTCCATCTTTTTTGGGCAAAATCATACCCTTTGCAAATTCTATAAAATTATAACCTTTATTATATAAGGAGTTATAATCACAGTTGATACATATAGAAAAAACAATTTTTTGGAAGAAATTAATTTACTTTTCTCCATTAAGAAATATTTTATAGAACATATGAAATATAATTTTCTCAATTTTTTTAGTACTGATATTTCAACTTAACTTTTAGCCCTTAGCCCTCTCAATAATACCAATCCTTCAATTTCATTTGATGAAAAACAATACTTATAAATACATAGATCTTCTACAATTTAATTAAAAACATTTACTTGTAAAATAGCTATTATTTTGTTATAAATAAAAAAAATATATATAAAATTATAAATTCACCGTTTGTTAAAAACGAGGAACGAGCATATAAGAGAAAGTATAGATGTAGCGTCAATCATGGATAAGATGAGAGAAAATAGACTTAGATGGTTTGGTCATGTTATGAGGAGAGAAGAATCGGAAGCTGTAAGAACAGTTATAGAAAAGAAAGTTGAAGGAAGAAGAGGTAGAGGAAGACCTAAANAAGAAAGTTGAAGGAAGAAGAGGTAGAGGAAGACCTAAAAAGAGATGGAGGGATGCTATTGAATGCGATATGAGGACAGCTGATGTGAGCGTAGATGATGTGGGAGATCATGTCAAGTGAAAGTTTAGGATGAGGTTGGCCGACCCCAAGTAGTTGGGATTAAGGTGAGGAAGAAGATGAAGAAGATTTATGTTTAATTTAACAACAGTAAAATTTATTGTGTTAAGTGGAAGTTTAGGATAAAGGTGGCCAACCCAATGTAGTTGGAATTAGGTGAGGAAAAAGAATAAGACTGTTTGTTAAAAACGTATATTTTTTTAATTTTATTTGAAATTTAAATTAAAATATTACTAATATTTACTTAAAAAAATAAATAATATAATTGTTAGCACAGAAGTTTAGATATAAATTTTAAATGCAAGTGATCTGACATTTTTAGGATAATATTCCATTTAAAATAAAATGATTGCATTGAATTCTTAAAATTATTTAAGAATTGAAAAATTGCATAGCAGTCAGCTATCTTCTTCTTTTTTCTTACTTTTTTATATTTTGTAATAATTTAAAACTGAAGTATACCATAATATATATTCGATTTACATTATGAATGAGTTTTTAAGAAAAATTATATACCCATTTGTTGTAAAATGCCAATTTTTTTTGTAAATTTAAAATTATTATTATTATATTATAAAATTATAAAACATATAAAAATTTAAGTAAAAATAAGGAGACTGAAACAGTCTCCTTATTATGGATGTTTCATCCATGCAACATTTTGATTGTTATATTTTTAACAATGCGATTAAAATTATTTTCAATTTTTCTTTCTTTAAATTTAAATAATTTAAGCATACCTTCTTTCAAATCTTTAACATATATTTCTAATTGTTCTCTGATTTTACTCTTTCCTTGATTATAAAGAAAGTCTTTCACTATATTTCCTTCATTTGATGATTCTTTTAATGAGATGTTTATCTAAAATTAATTTAACTTATCAAAACAATGATTATCAAAATATTATAAATTCTATAATTTTAATTTTAATTTGAAGTTGCATCACTATAAATTAACTAAAATAAAAATGATTTATTGTGTAAGATGTTTCTAAACTCAATGTTATTAGTGGTACTTTACACTACACATTTTTGTGAAAACATTTTATAAAATATAAGACTCTTTAATTTTTTTTTTTTTAGAGTAGTTTATTCCCATGTTATTCCCAACCTTGTATAAAGTTAAATTTGTATTGATATTATCAGTAAATTTAGTGGAATAGTTTATCGTCCAATTAGGATTTTAATACTCAAAACTGTGTAAAGCANTTTTTTTAGAGTAGTTTATTCCTAAGTTTTTCCCAGCCTTGTATAAAGTTAAATTTGTATTGATATTATCAGTAAATTTAGTGGAATAGTTTATCATCCAATTAGGATTTTAATACTCAAAACTGTGTAAAGCATAATAAATTAAAAGTATTTTCTTAATTATATAATGAAATAATACTTTCTAAAAACTTAAGCACCTAAAAACCCTCTTTTGATTTTTTTAATTCACTACTATACACATAACAATAAGTTTTCCCCTTTAATAAATATAGGATATTTATATATTTCATTAAATTATTATTAAATATTCAAAAACATGATGTAAAAACAAAGACTACTATTTGAGGTATAGCCATCTTTATCGAAACAAACATAGAAAGCAAGAACATATTACTAGTTACCCAACATAAATCAGTAGCAACATTAATCATGTAATTAATCAAAATAATTATTTATATGTAATTTAAACATTCTAAATAATACTCTCATCACCAAAGAATATATTGAAGATATAATAAATAAGTTACCAAAACCATTCATTCTAATAGGCGACTTCAACAATTTCAATATAATATGTGGTTGCAACTACATAGATACCAATGCATTGAAATAGAAAAACTATTTGATGAAGGGTCTCTCATTCTATTTAACACCAAAGAACACACTAGACATAATGCAACTAGTGGAAGTCTATCTACAATAGATTAATCTTTTTGATAAGTACTCTGAGCAAATTCATATAAAAATTAAAAAAAATTTGAAACCCAGAATTAATAAAAAAATGCCTCTCCCGTGAACAATATGGCTTTAAGAGAAATCACTCTACAATGAATGCATCAACTTCAATTCATACAGATATTTGCATTGTATCTAGAAGAAAACAACATCTTTTTTCAATAAAATTAGTTATACAAAAGCCTATAATAATGTGGAGAGTGTTATCCACACTACAAAAATGTAACATAAATGGAGACCTACTGAAATACATTTAAAACTTCATAAACTAGCAAGACGCAGTGCATTATTTTTAACAAGAATAAAAAAGGCATTCAATCCACATTAAAGTTAATGAGTTCTCTACTAGTCTTTACTAACAAAATCTATATACTTAAACTAATTTTGGACCACAAAATGTCATGGAAACTTCATATTTCAAATCTCAAAACAGATTGTTCAACTAATATGAAAATTGTCAAATTATTATGTAACAACTAANCAGATTGTTCAACTAAAATGAAAATTGTCAAATTATTATGTAACAACTAATGGGATACCCAAACAAATGACCTACTCACTATTTACAAGTCACTAATTCTACCCAAAATTAACTATGGGGCTATTGTGTATAACTCCAAAAAGAAAAATTTACTAAATACACAATCAGGAAATTAGACTGGCAATATGTGCTTTTAGAACTATCAGTATACTTTGTAATGCAGGAGAAATTTTTTTAGAATCACTAATATTTTCTTCACAATACACTCCCATCTAATAATAGTCCTAACCTAAATACTGTTTATGAAATCTTTATTAAATACAGTGGAAAAAATAGAATACCCCACAAAAACACTTAAAAGAACATTATCTAATATTCCCCTTTGGTTTTAGTCACATACAATAAATATCTAACCAACAGAAAACTGAAATAGATTTTGCTGTTATATAATGAAGACAATACAAACCCGTCATTTACATTACCACCAAATTCATCCATTTACACTGCAGAAACATACGCGATAAAAAGAGTTAAAATAACTTCTTCTTTATTAAATCCCTTATCCAAAAATGAACTAAATCAAACACATTCAAGAACTCATCTCCAACTCAAACAGATTACTAGTTTTTATGTAAGTACTATCACGCATGGGCATACCAGGTAATGAAAGAGCTGATACAATTTTTCTGGGATAAACTACCACTGTATCACTATCAAACAAACTAAGAAATATACAAACCAAAAATCAACATTGAAATTAAAAGAAATAAAGAAATAACCATTTCAAGACTTAGAATAAGTCATACCAATCTAACGCATGCATGTCTATATAATAAACTTTGTTATTGAAGTCTTTTCTGCTTAAAAAAAAAAAAAAAAAAAGACTCCAATTAAATTTTTGTAAGATAATTTTTCTTAATAATTTTATTTCAACTAGACCAGAATACAAAGACTAATAAATATCTTAACTAATTAACAATTAATTAAAATCTTTCATACCTCAACTTCAGATATACTATTTTCTTCACTTAAATTAGGTATATTAATTGTGCCTTCAATTTGTTTATCAGCACCACTTAAAAATCCTTTCCATGATAATGTTAAATCCCATTCGTAAAAGAATATCAATTTGCCTTTTCTATTATTCGCAACAGCTTCTCCTTCACATGTATCAATCTTATGTATTTCACAATTGACAACATCATTTTCTATTACCAATCCAATAAGTAATGAATTTAGTTTTTCCTTTGACCATTGACAGGCATTCTTTTCAGTCCTGTAAAAAAAATTAATACTAAAATTAAAATTGGATAAAATCCCAATTGTGAATTTAGAATTATTAAATAAAAAATTGTATTAGGATTCAAAAAAAATATGTTAAAAAAACATAAATCTCAAAATTTTATAAACATTTTTTTTTTTTATTGCAATTACTTTTCCATCACAGTTATACTTAATTTATTAAATCTATATTTCACAATTTAAGGTATATTTTTACACTGAACAAAATGGTCTTATTACATTTTATTTATCTTAATACTCTATTCAATTATTTAACTAATCACAAAAAACAAAGTAACAAAACAAAAGTTAAAAAATAATAATTACGGTTAAAATTTTATGAAAAATGTTCAGAACATTCTGATATAACTTTATTCCATCCGTTTTATACCCTGAGGAAATCTTTCCCTTTGTTCATTATTATGATTCCAAGTTATATAGGAATTTATGAAAATATGAGTACATGTATTACATGTCCCAAACTACTTTGTCTACAAAGTAGACAAAGTAGTTACAAGTCTACAAAGTAGTTGGGACTACAAAGTCCCAACTACTTTGGGTTGGCCAAGTAGTTGGGATTATACAAATACAGTATAATACATATATTACAACCCAATGTACAATAGTTTTTTAACATCCAATTAACAATGTCTACTTAATTTTAATTTTTGTTGAGTTCTCAAAAATCTTTGAATAAAATCCAAGAATTTTTCCAATATTTATGGTGAAATTTAATAAATTATCCTACATAAAAATGTTTTCAAAAAATTGTAATCATGTAAAACTAACCCAACCTAAATTATGTATTAAAATGCTTGTATCTTAACAAGTACTAATCCTGAAATTGTTACTGATCCATCAATATTTTTGAAAGAAAAGAGCTAAAAATAGCCACTTAAAAAAAAAACAATAAATTTTATATTATTTATGTATTTTTTTTTTACAAATAATGAAAAATAAGTTTCCAATCTGATCTAAACTGTAAAATTTATTTAAAAAAAAAAAGTAACAAAATATTTGCTGGATCAAAAGTTATTAAAAATATCAAAATCTAATATGACACTTAGTCTAAAACTTTTGAGCCAAAACCGTTGAAATGTAATAAAAGACTTAATAAGATAACATACATAACAACTTCATAATATCTTCTCACATGTATAATTTAAATATTGAATTGATAAAATAAATCTTTATTAAGTTGTTCAATAAATAAAAATAATAATTAAATAATTGAAGAATAACTGAATTGTTTTGGTTACATTAATAAAATAAAACTAAACCAAATTAATATAGCATTATCAATTGAAGCAGTCATGAAAGAATAAAATTTATTAATTACAAATTTTACAAGTTTCATAAAACAAAAAACTAATGTTTCTTAAAACTATAAAAAAAAACATTTTTAGCCAATTTTGGAATAGTTGTTTTCATTATAATATATAGATAGAAGATTAATAAGTTATCACATTCAGAATTAGTACTAAATTTTAATTAAATGTGATATAATTTCAAATTGTGAGGTAGTTGAATTTTCTAGACAATATAAAGTGAAAAAAATTACCAATGCCAATTATTCACATTTGTAGCATCAGGTCTCTCTTCTACAATCCAACGAGGATCTCCTTCTCCCCATTTAGCCATCTAAAAATTTTCAATTTTTTATTTTTTAGATTAGTAACGCATATAGCAAAAATAAAAATTTCATTTTTGATAATTTATTAAGTTTAAGTTACCTTACCGTGTATAACTAGTGAAAAAAATAATTAACAAGTTTTAACTAAGAAAATAAAATTAATCACAGTTGCTTTGCTCTAAAATTATCTAAAGATATATATCAAGTTAAATTTCACGTTTCAGAGAAAATACCATCGACAAAAAAAAATAAACCATAAAAAATAGAACTGAAATTGGAATATTCTAGAATCTTCAACAGTATAACCTTAGTGATAAGGCATTAAATTACTAATTTGTCGTATCTAGTAGCACACACTGTTTTACTTAGTTAAAAGATACGAATTTTTAAGGTTAAGATGTTTTATAACAGATTTATATAACATTTTGGATTTTTTACAGTTTGCAGAATGATTTTGTTTATGAACCACGTATTAGAAAAATATAAATAATATTAAGAACTTTAATTTATGTTTTTCTCAATTTATTAATCACACAATATTTTTTTTGTTTATCTTTTATATCTTACAAACTTACGAATCATATAAAGTAATAAATTACTTATATAAACAAATGATTAAAGCTTATTTATTAGATAATAATCTAATTAAGATAATGACTGACTGATAACAACTTTTAGACCAGTATTTCGAAAGTTATTAGCATTTTAAAATATAGTCTTGAAATGAGACAAGGATATTGTTATTTTTATCACTAATCATTTCTCTGCCGCTCGCGATTAGGTATAAAAATGTCTTGCTCATATAAATGTTTTCACGTCATCCGAGAGTCGTCCCCGTCAATCACAGTTTTCTTTTGTAGCAATCTATCGCATGACAAAATATCTATTTTGTCATGATCTATCATAAATTTGCCAGCTAAAACTATTAAGTATTAACTAGAGAGAGTTGGCAAAACTCCACAACTTCCCTCGTGGCTGCCATAGTCACTACTCTCAGCATTTATACTGATTGTATAAACCATTCATAGCTGCAAATTTAAAGTTTAGCCTCTCCAAAATTTCAGAAAAATCATAATTAAATTAATTGAAATTTTAGAATGAGGGAACTTAGATATAATAAGCCCCTCCAAAAATTTTGTTGAAATTACGTCTATAATACTAATTAATATATATATATATATATTTTATATAGAATATTCAAATACAGTTATATTAATAATAGTAATAATAACTATTAATTAATAGATTAATATAAAATAAAGGCAGATTTAGATAGTATAACGATAAAAATACGAATTACAAATGTGAGTATTAGCTCTAATTAAATTTTACTCAATACAATTACAATGTTCATTTATTATACCTTATAAGGGTATTATTTTTCAAGTGGAAAAATACATAATTAACTAGTTTATAGATAATGATCTAATTAAAAAAATGATTGGTTGATAACAACTTTTGCATCAATATTTTGGAACTTATTAACAATTTAAAGTAATGGCAGGAGACAATACTGCTATTTTTATCACTAGATATATCTCGATCCACTACTTTTCCTACCTAGGTTTAAAAATATTCATAACTTATTAAGTACATATATTTATATAAATATAAAAGTCGAGTAGTAAATAGAATGGTACGTGTTATTATAATACATTCATTACAATTGAACAAGGGGAATAATATTCTATTCCCTGTCTTGCATAAATTGTATCTCATTACATAATTTATGGGATCAACCTTCCACACTCTATTGTGGAACGTCCACGTTAAGAGCTAAGCTTTTGAAACTCCCTCTATTTATTTTTTCCTATAATTACTAAAATGTGTTGCAATAACACACATTTTATTGCTTTCACTTAAAAAACTATTTTGCTACTCTCTTACCAAGACGCAAAGGTGCAACAACGAAGAGTTTTTCGTCATCCCCAAAAACTTAGAAAATTATATTGAATTTTATATATAAATATTTGTTTTAGGGTGTGAGAATAGTGAATTTTTCATTAACTATCACCCTTAAAAATGTTATTCTAGTTGCGTCATTGTTAAAACAACCCATTTTATATTAATTTTTGCCAAATTTTATTAAAATTTGCATATGAAAAACTTCCGTTTCAAGAAATTATGTTCGTGGGCCTTAAGTTGAAAACATAACTCTTTCTACCATGGGAACAATTTAAGCAAAAATGTTGAAATTATATTATGTTCACAAATTCGCGGGACACACCCTCCATATCACCCAATAATATTACTAAAATAATACTCTCAAGAGCCACAGTAAACAAATAAAAAATATTATCTATTTTTTACTAATAATTATTAATAGATTATAATCCATTGTATTAACATAATTTTACTATTCGCCTTATTATCACATTTTAATAACTACAAAGACGTTTTAAATTGTATAAAAAAAATTGTTTATTGTTTATGTTTATTGTCAACTACCAATAAAAAAATCTTTCATACAATTAGAAAAAATTATTTTTATATAATTTTAGTAAATTAGGACTGGGGTTGCTGCAACACTCTCAGAACTTTCGCTAGTTACACCCATGCCTATATGCAATACATCGATGTTCATATCTACGGGTTACGCGACTAATAACTGAAAAAATCTATATTATATATATAAATAAACTGAAATATCCCATTTGATTATTGATAGAATGTCTAAATCAAAAAATGACATCTCAGAGAAGTATTTATAACTATTTCTCTACGATGAAACTTGGTGATTTCATGTAGACGTATAAAAATATTTCTTCCCAATAAATTCGTCCATGTGAGATATAATTGCAATCTAAAAGTATAAATTAAAAGACATTTTGTAAAAAGCAAATGTAATATTGAAGAAACACGAATGGGTTTGAACGGCTTCAAATTTCATAAACTCACTGACATATCCTTTTACCCTAACTTATAGCACGTCCGTTCAGTTATAATGCTTGTATAGGACGTTATTGGAACTTGTGTTTTTTTAATTGAGTATTTTATTTAAATTTAATGTACAATAAATTAACATTTTATTATTATTTATACAATTTTTTATATTTTAAATAATATTATTAAACATATATTATTTAATTTGCTTGTAATATTAGTACTTATATTAACTAATAAACATTTAATATGAATGACTACGTGATAATTTAGTGCATTTAAATACGAGAACTATTTGCAATTAACATAAAATATAAACATACATTTAAATAGAAAAATTTACTAACTAAAAAAAAGTACAACCATAAACTATTATTACAACAAAAAAAAATTAATTAATTTTGTAGATCTTTACGAACAGATTTTTGAAAAAATGATAATAATTTTATAGTAAATATAAAAAATATTTTTTGTTAAATGATCAAGAATTTGTAGAGGTCAAAAAATTCTGAAATATCTTGATGAAAAAATATCTTAGTAATACCCCTTATATTATATTGTTTCATTTCAAAGACCTAATACAATTCTGCATAACAAACTATTTTTCAAAATTTACCTCAAAAAAATTTAAAATGTTAGTAATTTATAATACAAATGTTTATAAGCGTTTACTGCTTAAAAAATAACGGTAATAACACTTCTCTATGAATTATAAATAAGTTGGTATTAATCAAATTTTATAATTGTAACAAGTGAAAATATCAATGTATATTTATTTATTTACCCTAATACATATTTTCTTATGTGTTGTATAGTGATTTTTATGATTGTTTATTATATTTATACCCTATATTTAATTACTTTGCTAAATTGCTGTTAATTTTTATTCATTATGTTTTCTACTGTTTAATTATGTAATGTTCTGTCTAAAGGGGTTCATTTATAAATCAATCAATTAATTAATAAGAACATAGACAAAGTTAGATCATATTTATTCTGTGGTAAAAGATATTTCTACATTGCAAATAATAGAGAAGTTGTTTTGGTTGAAGTTGGTTAAACTGTACAAAACGGCGTCATCTCCCCACTTTTTCGAAACAAGTAAAGAACCTTTTTTGACGTAGCTTTGATCTATCGTCAGCGGCCATTTTTGTGGATGCGTTACCTCGTTGCTTCAAGATTTTACTGTTAGTGAAATAAGTGTTTCTTGCTTGTTGTTTATATTATATTCATTTAATTCTCAATGGCACAAGTTAAAGAAGAAAAAAAATGCGACACATCGTTAAATGGCCCTAATACAGCTCAAAATAATCCTGTTGCAAACCATAAACCCAAACAAGAATTTCATAACAGTGGTGGTCGCGGTGGCGGAAAAGGTAATCGATTCCAACCTTATAGAGGACCCCCAAGAGATCAAAAAGGTTCAAGAGAAAATAATATGGTAATTATCATTCACAATATAAATGCGACACATGGTTTATTGGTATAATAGAACGAATAAAATTGTCATGATTCTTGGTTCTATTAGATAGTTCTAATTAATACCATTGTAGAACAATTACTAGATTTCAGATATAACACAACATATTTTTCAACTTTATTTGTCGAAAATGTATAAAATATTTATTAACATTCTGTATTGACATATTATAGCACTATATAACGAAATAGTATCACAATACAGTCATTATACTCCTACTAGACTTAATTTCAAATTGATTAACTAGTTTTAAGCTAATGAAGTATAAAATTTAGATAATAATGGGACTTTTTTTTATTATAGAATTTTATATTAAGTGACATATATCTATGATAATTACTTGAAGTTTTAATAATGTTTGATGATCTATTAATTAAAAATGTTAACCTTATCATCACAACTTAATATCCACCTCTAATCGGAATAAATTATTTACACAATTTTAAAATTGATGATGATAACATAGTTCATTTGAATTAATATGAAAGTGAGCATAATGCAATTGTCTTTCGCTCCTATCTGAAGCATAAGTTACATATTTAAGTTTAAAATATATAGTTAGTTTAATGATTTCCTTACCCCTATCGCCACGCTTTATTACTTCTGTTTGAGTATTATTGTGCCAATTCATTAATTGAATTTTTAGGGAACATAAAAAATTAATCCTAATAGGAAGCACAGGGAATCATTTCTTTTGTGTGTCGACATATAGGATACATAACTCAGTTAATTAGTTAATCTAGTTGTAAGTTTAATGATGAGTCTATTAATCAAATTGTTCTGAATTTTATTGACGACAATTTCTTTATCACCACCCACCTCTGAATGAATAAATTATTTACACAATTTTAAAATTGATGATGATAAAGTTAAGTATGGTGTTAAAGTATTCTAGTTTTAAATATATGTTATAAATAAAACTTTGTTTCCAAATAATCTTAATTATATACTAAATTTAGTAATTGTAAAATGAGAAAAAAAAAGTAAAGTTTTGTATGATGAATTTATAATTACCACCAAGATCTTTGATTATTTGTGTGATATAGATTTAAATAAATCTGATAATATTTGAATTAAATTAATTTGGAATATTGGAATTATAAATTTTAGGTTTTTTTTTTTTTATTCTTTTAATACATTAGTTAAATTTGTTATATACAGTGTGTATATTTATTCATTACTAATTGTAGATGTAATAATCATTTTTAGATTATTATTATTATTTATGTTGGGAGTACAAATCATTTGATATTGATTAATAGATCATAAGCTGTACCATTGATTTTTATAATTATAATCATTATTTTAATAGCATAATAATCTAAAAACTTTTTAAAATACATTTTAAATTAATTTTTTCTGTAAGTAGTATAGTGGTCAATACGGTGCATTTATTCTATTATTTGTATCATTATTTTTTTTTTGTTAAAGATTATAATTACAGGTTGGGTGTTTTACCTATTATATGAAATAGGAACTCAGTATTATTTTATTCAACTAATATTCTGAAATATTAGTTTTAGGTTGAACGACATCCATGATAATTTTCTAACTACNTTCTGAAATATTAGTTTTAGGTTGAACGACTTCCATGATAATTTTCTAACTACAACACAAAGGTAGTTCATCTGTAAATGATGATGCTCAACTTAATTGTTCAATGACTATTATAAAATATTACAAAAATCTTAATTTAATGATGAGGCTATTAATCAAATTGTTCTGAATTTTATTGACGACAATTTTTTATCACCACCCACCTCTGAAAAAAAAATGTATTATGCTTAATTTTAAATCTTTTATATTTAAGTATCATCATATTATGTAAATGTTATTTGTTATATGATGAAAATATTAATACCATCAAGATCTCTGAATCTTAAGTTGATAAGAAGTTTTACATTCTGACAAAATAATCCAATAAACTTAACTAAATTGATTAAAACTATTATATGTATATATTTAAATTTCCTTGATTAGAAATATTAATATTATTAGACAATTAACTAGTTTGTCATAAGTTAATAAATTTGTAGTACATAGTTTATATTTAGGGATATGGTATGGAGTATGGATTATTTAGTCATTGGTTTAACGCTAATGTTCATCTTCACTTTGTAGTGTTGCTTCTTGGATTGATTACTATACAGTAGCTTTAACTATATAATTCTATGATACAACCCTTTTTTATTTTCAATTTCAAGGAAGATAAAATTATGAAATCTAAAACTTGATATTATCAATGAAGGCAGTTTTCTTTTTGTCTATTTTATAACAAATATTCTTAAAATTAAAAAAAGGGAGATATGACCTTTAAGAATTAGGTTGACAATAGTTTGTATTCGAAACAATACTATTTTAATATTAATAATGAATATCAATGTTTGTATTAACTTAAAATAAATGTATATTGCTTGTACACAATTTTAAAATTGATGATGATAACATAGTTCATTTGAATTAATATGAAAGTGAGCATAATGCAATTGTCTTTCGCTCCTATCTGAAGCATAAGTTACATTCTTAAAGTTTAAAATGTATAGTTAGTTTAATGATTTCCTTACCCCTATCGCCACGCTTTATTACTTCTGTTTGAGTATTATTGTGCCAATTCATTAATTGAATTTTTAGGGAACATAAATAATTAATCCTAATAGGAAGCACAGGGAATCATTTCTTTTGTGTGTTGACATATAGGATACATAACTCAGTTAATTAGTTAATCTAGTTATAAGTTTAATGATGAGTCTATTAATCAAATTGTTCTGAATTATATTGACGACAATTTCTTTATCACCACCCACCTCTGAATGAATAAATTATTTATACAATTTTAAAATTGATGATGATAACATAGTTCATTTGAATTAATATGAAAGTAAGCATAATGCAATTGTCTTTCGCTCCTATCTGAAGCATAAGTTACATTCTTTAAGTTTAAAATATATAGTTAGTTTAATGATTTCCTTACCCCTATCGCCACGCTTTATTACTTCTGTTTGAGTATTATTGTGCCAATTCATTAATTGAATTTTTAGGGAACATAAAAAATTAATCCTAATAGGAAGCACAGGGAATCATTTCTTTTGTGTGTCGACATATAGGGTACATAACTCAGTTAATTAGTTAATCTAGTTATAAGTTTAATGATGAGTCTATTAATCAAATTGTTCTGAATTTTATTGATGACAATTTCTTTATCACCACCCACCTCTGAATGAATAAATTATTTATACAATTTTAAAATTGATGATGATAACATAGTTCATTTGAATTAATATGAAAGTAAGCATAATGCAATTGTCTTTCGCTCCTATCTGAAGCATAAGTTACATTCTTTAAGTTTAAAATATATAGTTAGTTTAATGATTTCCTTACCCCTATCGCCACGCTTTATTACTTCTGTTTGAGTATTATTGTGCCAATTCATTAATTGAATTTTTAGGGAACATAAAAAATTAATCCTAATAGGAAGCACAGGGAATCATTTCTTTTGTGTGTCGACATATAGGATACATAACTCAGTTAATTAGTTAATCTAGTTGTAAGTTAAATTTGAGTTAATATGAAAGTTTTTTTTATGTATTATTATTGCTGTATTACTGTTATTTACTGATATTGTCCATTATTTCAGCCTAGAGGTGATTACCGCCAGGAAGGTCATGGTAATGGCAATCCAGAAAATGATATTATGAATAGGGGAAATCGTAATTTAGATGGTGGCAGAGGTAGACGAGGAGGTGGACCCGGTGCTGGAGCAAGTTTTCGAGGAGGCCCACCGCCTAATCGTGACGTTGATAGATCCTCTCGAGCAGATGTATTTTAGATATTTATTATTTACTTGTTGTTAATTTTATCATACGAAAAATTGTTTTTAAATTTAGAATATGTGGAATGAAAAATTAATGCAAATTAGAGGACCTACCCATGAACTTCCTCTAAATGACAATTCAGAAAGGAAGTTTTTAAGCCAATGCCGTCTTTATATTGGTAATTTGGTAGATTGCTCTGAAGAAGAACTAGCAGAAATGTTTAAACCTTATGGCGAAGTTTCTGAAAACTTTTTAAATAAGGAAAAAATGTTTGCTTTTATTCGTCTAGTAAGTAGTTTTAAATAATCTTTTTTTTTTTACGAGTACTATAAAACATTAATAGATCTCTTAAGATTCATTGTATAAAAAATATATATTTTTATTCATAAATGTTGGTAATCTTAATTTTCTATCTTTTTTTTTTTGTAGGATTACCGTGCTAATGCTGAAAAAGCCAAAAGAGAATTAGATGGTCAAATGCGTAAAGGTCGTATGTTGAAGATTCGATTTGCCCCGATTGCTGCTGCTATTAAAGTTAAAAATTTAACACAGTTTGTTTCAAATGAGTTATTAGAATATGCATTTTCAATTTTTGGAGAAGTAAATTTTGTTTATTTCATGTAGTATAATTTAATGATAAATTATTCAATTTTTTATTGAAAAACGTAGATTGAACGTTGTCAAATCATTGTTGATGAAAGAGGAAACTCAACAGGTGAAGGAATTGTAGAATTTTCTCGAAAAAATGCTGCTGCTGCTGCTCTAAGACGTTGTTCAGAAGGTTGTTTCTTTTTAACTAGGTATAAATTAATTTTATTATGTTAGCTTATTGAAATTTTTAATTATATATATTAAAATATAAGTATTAATTAATTTTTTTTTACTTTTAGTTCTTTAAAACCTTGTATTGTTGAACCATATGAATTTGTTGATACTTCTGATGGATTACCAGATAAACTGCTTCCAAAAAAAACTGTTGAGTTTAAAAAACAAAGAGATGTTGGGCCTAGATTTGCTGATCCAACAACATTTGAACATGAATTTGGAACTCGTTGGAAACAGTTAGCTGAGTTATATAAACAAAAAGAAGAAGCTTTAAAACGAGAAATGAAATTGGAAGAAGAAAAATTAGAAGCTCAAATGGAATTTACTCGTTATGAACATGAAACTGAAATGCTTCGAGAACGTAAAAAAAATAAATAAAAACATTAGCAGGTTTTAATTCATATTTTAGATATATTTAAAATATTTGATTCAATTACAGAATTAAGACAACGTGAAATGGATCGAGAACGCCAAAAAATGGAATGGGAAATGAAAGAACGTCAAGCCGAAGAACAAAGACTTCGTGGAGGGGAAATGTTTAGAAGACAAAATGATGATCTTGCTATGAGAATTCATCATCAAGATGAGGAGTTAAGACGGCGTCAACAAGATAATTCTATGTTCATGCAGGTATTTTTGTTTTTTATGAAAAATATTGTTTATTGTCAAACGGTTTAATTATCAAACNTATTGTAAAACGGTTTAATTATCAAATAAATGTTTAAAGGATCACAGAGGACCTGTTAAACCAGTATTTGATGGACCTCCAGCTCCTGTTGAAGGCATGTCTGTTCGTGAATTAGAGGCTATGACTGGTAAGCTATTATTAATTTATTATTTTTTAAATTTTACTTAGTGTATTAATTAATGTCATTATTNTATTTTTTAAATTTTACTTAGTGTGTTAATTAATGTCATTATTTTTTTTTATTATTACAGCACAAGGAATGGTAATGTACCAATTTTGTTTTATTTATAATACATTTAAGAAAATCTTAAAACTAACTATAAAGATAAAATCATTAATTTTCATATAATGAAAATGTTTTAATTCCTCTTTTTAGAAAGTTGAATTATTTTTAAAATGTAATATAGATAATGGATGTCATTATCTACATTCTTATAAAAAGATAAAAAAAAATATCATAGTTTTTGTCTCTCATTGTTTTATTTTAAATTATTTATTAGATATTATATTTTGAGCTTTAGTAGATAAAAGATAAATGTTGCTTTGGTCCTATTAAGGCTTGATATGATCAAGTTGGTAATGTCCTAACATTTTATTAGTTAAAAAAAATTTATTTCTTATTTTTTTTGGTAATATATTTTTTAACATAATTGATAATAACAAAAATATAGGAGTTAAGATTTACAAAGACTTGCAAGATAAAAAAACTATTTTTGAGCTATGATCTCATTGATTTTAATGTTTTTTAAAGGATGTTTTATATTTTTTCTAAGCTTTCAATTAGTAGAATTACTTGTAACATTTACATTTTTTGGTTTGGTTTTTAATTTTAAAAAAAATTATTTTTACACAACAGGTGAAAAAAAAATTAAATTATTTTCTGTTAAAGAGAAAATGTAAGGTATAGTGAAATTCACTGGTTTCTCCATTTTTAGAAATTTTTTAGTTGTTGCATTCATCTTTATATGCCAAACATATAGGTTTATTTAATGATAAAGAATAATTTTATAATTATATAATATGTTCTATAATGATTTTAAGTTATTTTATATATGACCTTAGTTCTTGGTGAAATGTATAAAAAAAATTTTGAATACATAAATTATTGTAGTCTCTCTCAAGTACTATAATAATGAGAAATATGTAACATGTTAAATGAGAATGTTCATTGTACATGTACCTTGTAATCACAAAATATTTCTCTTTATTGTTATTCAGTAAAAGGTATTTAGGGGATGCAGTTTCAAATCTTACTATACTACTTATTCTAATATAAATATTGCTTAATATAGTTTACTTTATACTTTTTAATTCAATGTATATTTATTAAAATTTACAACAAAGTATATTTTCTACCAAAATAATATTTTGGTTTATGATTGAATTTCTGGAATTGGTTTATTATAAAAAAAATTGCTTGTAGATATATTTTTAAGTATTTGGAGTTTTCAATGATTGATTCAAAATTCAAATAATATTTACTAAACAAGTATAATTTCTTCTCCATTTTTATAATNATTTATTAAACAAGTATAATTTCTTCTCCATTTTTATAAAGTTAATATTCTACATTTCATTTTCATTTAATTGTTTCATAAAACCATACAATTTAAATGTCTATCATGACTGTATTTGAAAACTAAATTTTATTATTGCAACTAAGGCTAAAACCTATTTTAACACCTTTTAATCAAATATGATTTTCAGATTATATGTTTCATAAAAATAATCACTAATCTATTACCAGTATTTAATTCTATTTTTTAAATAACTAACTGGTACCCAACAACCAAACCGATTTCCTCTTCAAATTAATTGGTTAAATACAAAAATGGTAATTTTATTTCTATATAGTTTGGTTGGAATTGAACATTTTTAGTCATTTATTAAGTATTAATAAGATAATAAATAAAAGCAGAGGCTTATTAGAGTGTTGATAAATTATTCTTTTGGAACAGAAAGATTTTCTTATGTATTCCATTTCCCCAGAACAAAAGACTATCTGTATCACTTTAGTTATTATAAAAACAGTAATTTTGTATAAACCCGTTACAAAGGAAATATTGAAGAGTTAATTATGCACTAATAGACGGATGGTAGTATAAAATTATCCTAAGGAACAAAGTTTTTTTCGGTTACCAGTAACAGAAAAAACCTTAAGCAGTAGACATTTATTTTCTTAATTTTCAAATTAAACCTAAATCGATGACCACTTTTTACAAAATAATACCTTAACTAGAATTCTACACAAATAATATAAATAAATTTGGTTTTTACTGGGACTGATTAACCTTTTTTTTTTTTTTTTTTTATATATAATGTTTTCAAGTCCTGATTACAACAAAAGTTTCTACTTATATCTTATGGGAAATAATTGACTAATCGATTTTAATATATTCATTCTCTCTTAGTTGCATTTTGAGATTCAGGGTTGTCACAAATCTTGAAAACTGAAAAAAAAAATGTCTGGGAATTTTATTAAAGTATTTGATAATTTGTTAAAATTGTTTTACAGTATGGTGTATCGCTGAAATAAAAGGCTAATTTTATAATAATTGTGGTGGCCTAGCTCGCTTCATGATAAGATATTAGCAAAAACAAGGTCAAAAATAAATTTTACAATCCAGATAATGCTAATTAAATGGTCCTCATCGCTCTATAGACAGTAGCCTAAAAGGCATTGCCACTATGTCCAATTCATTCCCTAGTACAGTGGATTTCTGTCAATATAATTAGTTAATGTTCTTCTACTATTAATAATAAAGTCACTATATTTAATTATTAAGTAGGTAAGAGATTTATCTAAGTTACTATTTGTCTCTCTCCTAAGAAATGTCTAGAAATTCAGGGCATTGAAAGTTAAAAAATTGTGGCAACCCTGTGGTCAAACCTTTGTTATTTGGTTATCACATTTTAACTAATATTAAAAACCTAAAAATTGTTACATTGAAAATTTAACAGTATTTTACTTAAATTCCAGATTTCCATTCCATTTATGTTAGAATATTTAATAATATATTAGACAGTATTCAATTATATTGGCAAAAAAAGATAAATAACTTGTAGATCTAACTTAAAACTCATAACTTTTGACCCAATCGTTTTGCTGTAATTTTTTTTTTAGACAGTATATTTATTATAAAATTTCAAATTATCTTCCTTTTCTTGGATTTTTTTTTTTAATAACTATAATCTTCATAAAGTACATTCAAAGTACTATATAATATATTATATTTTTATTATTTGTCATTTATCAGAAATTTTGAAATAGCGTTCTTTAGAATTTTCCTCGCAATCAATTTTGTTGGATTGATAACTAAACCAAGCATTATTACATAGAGTGGTATGTATGTAACACGGAGGGTACATTTTGTAATAGTGTATATTTATAAAGCATATCTCATACGCTCAACATACCTACTATATATATTAAAATGCTTGTAGCTTAATAAGTATTTGTTTTCAATTAGTTATCGGCTCATTGATCATTTTTGTAAGAAAAGTGTTCAAAAACTTACTTTTAAATGTAAAAAAATTTTATTAAAGAAAAATTTCATTATTTCATTAATATAAACAAAAGAATGTTTAAAAATGAATAAATTATTTTTTAATTGCAGCGTAATACTCATTGTATCAAAAGTTATAGTAGTTATCAGATGGATCTGTGTTCCACTCTGTATATATATATTATGACACATTACAGAGTAGTACAAAGCCTAAAAGTGATTATTTTAAAGTACTTTATGTGTTTGGCTGTGGTAAAGTTATGCATTAACATAATTCCTGAAATAATCTTAGATTATTTTATTAGGAATAAATTTTTTCTTCGATTTTGCTAAATGAATTTAATTTGTAAACGAGAAAATACTTAATAAAATAGAAACTAGCATATTAATGTAATACATTTATTATATTATGTAAACTTGACCTTAGTTTCTACAATCAAGTTTTTGTTATTTCTTTTAAATAATATAGCAAAAAATTTTGAATAAAACTGAACTTACAATTATTCATATAAAACAGATATGTCGGTTTAATTATTGTAATTAACCGATGTTTAATATTTTGTTGCTTTATAACTTAATAAACACGTGAACGAATGTAACGGGCAATGTTTAAATATTTTACTATAGAATGAAAACACTGCACTTTTAATAAATCGTTGATTTTAATTAACTGCTAAGTGTTAGATAAATAANCTGCACTTTTAATAAATCGTTGATTTTAATTAACTGCTAAGTGTTAGATAAATAACATCTATTTAGAAAAAACATGTATGATTTAAGATTTTTTTTCATGTTAAGTTTCCCTAATATTTATTAGGTATTAATTTATAATGACTAATTCCCTTTGAATGCGTTGATTGCTTTGATAACTGATAGGATTCAACGCCATTTGTGGAAACATTTGTACGTGAAAACCAAGGAGTATTGCCGCCGCCAGGCCTTTTCGACAATGGCCCTAGAGGAGATAGGGGCGGAAGGTGGGGTCCAGACAGACGTAACGGTCAAGACCGTAGAAGATTTTAATTTATCTAACTAAATAATATTGACCAATACAAAACAATTAAAAATGAACGAGATGAATTAGAAGATTCATTTATTGAAAATTATTCTTATGGATTTTTTTTTTATCGCATAAGCTTGCTATTAGCATTTTCCATATTGTCAATTAATGTAATACTTGAATATCTATTAAAATTGTAACGTGTGTCCTATAGGATTTAGTTGATAACTATTATGTATCTTAATTGCATGATTTTGATACTAACTTAGATAGAAGCATATCGAAATCCAATTGTGACTTCAGCTTCCGTAATTACTTATCCATTATCCAGTACAAACTTTTGTTTTTCTACAAATATTTCATTGAACATTATTTCTGCCAATATAAAAATACGCTTCTCTTTTCGTAATAATGCAGCTTATTTAAGAAATGAATTCAATTGTGTTCGCGTGTCATGAAAAATGCAGTTAACAATTTTGACACCTTTTGTATTCTTCAATTTTGTATTAGGCGTATATCCTGGGAATCGTTTTTATGTGATTTTCCTTTACTTTAATAGTTTTATTAACTATTTAATATAGTTATTACATAGAGTTATTTTCAATATTATTTTTTTTATGTTAATTTTTTCTTGTAATTTGTATATCAGTCAAAAATATTAATGTAGCAATTTATTTTTTTTGTATACAGTATTGATGAGTAATTTATCTTCAAATTATATTTTTCAATTTTTATATAACTTCTCGTTTTACAATTATAAGTTTTTTTTCATTATCGCCAAGCTGCTAGCGATCTTCAAGAGATATACATTAGAAATATGTTTTCTTCTTTTTTAATTGTTTTGTTTGAATTAAAAAGTATCTTATTATGTCTTTAAGTAACAAAAAAAAAAATCGCGTCAGTTGTTCTGATATAATAAATATATTAATCAATGTAAACTCCGCGAAGTCGCGAGCAACCTGGTGGTAATTAATATTAACACAAATTAATAACAAATCATTATTTGATAGACGTATTTTAAAAGACTATTTATTTTTCCTTAGAGAATATGGTAATTTTTATCAAATTTAACATGAACATTTTTAGATGTCATGTTATATAAATATTCGATTACGATTTCAGATTACGATTATTAATATATTAACTATATTTATGAAAATTAACTTTGATCGGGTTTAATTATCTCTGTATATAAGAAAATTTTACAATTTAGTTTTTTCCACTTAACAATGTCTAGTTTATCACTTAATAGTTGATATTATTTTTCGAGGCATTAAATTATTTATTTATTTTCTGTACCGAAATTAATTAGACACTAGTCTAATAAAATATTCAACAAAGTAGATTTTATAACGAAACAAAATTATTTAGTCTTAGATTTATTGCATTTCTATTTTTAAGTACTATTTTTATTAATATTATGTATTAAATTAATTATTTACGTTTTGCCAACATAAATAGCAAATAATAAAACTTTATACAATTATGTAACCTAAATTGAAATTATTTGGTGTGAAATATAATACTTATTTATAATTTAAAAATAAATGAACAAATTTAGAAACAATTCTCTAGTACAAGTTCATTAAAAATCTACATTCCCTATCATGTTTAATGTCTAAAACTGATCTATAAGGCTTCTTTACTAATATAATATATAAATAATCCAAAGGTGTATATAAGAAAATAGAATATGTCTATGCTACTTTTAAACTTTTAAGAGGTTTTTGTTTAAATTAATTGAGTGTTTATTTAGAGCTACACATAGCCATCATAGGCGCAATTTGAGCAAAATTTTCGGAGAAACTATATTTCTTCCCTTTTTTATAAGCATATCCACACAAATTTACATATAATTATTATAATTGATATCGAAATATATATAATATATTATAATCGAAATTATTAAGTCTATTAGAAAGGGCTAAGTCCCCTTTAAAACCAATATAGCGCTTAAGCAGGACTGGAAGTTAGTAATTAGAGTCATTTTATTGATAATGTCAATTTTAGTTAATTTTTTTCTTCATAAAACGGCTTAAATTAATGATTTCCGATTTGATTTTTTTTTTTAACGATTAAAAATTGTTTAAAATATGTGTTTGTATGACTTTGTTAAATTAATAAAATATAATTTTTCAATTATAAAAAAAAAATTTTTTAATTTACATTGAATTTGATCAGTAGTCTCATTAGAAATTGTAACGACCATAAAACATGAGATGTATATCATCTACTTTGGTAGTTCGGTCTTTCATTATTTTTAGTCTGTAACTGTAAATAATATATTATAATTTTAATTTATTATTACTATAACTAAGTTCATAGGAATTTTTTTAGTATACATTAAATATGTCTAGTAAATTTCGAGGTATTATATTGTACTTGAAAAAGGAAACCTTTTTCTCATAATATTGAAAAAAAAATTTATAAGCATATTAAAAACAATTTTGTGAAGACCACTACAATAATAATAATGGGAATCCTAATTATTAAACAGATAGTTATAAAAAAAAACCTTACACTCTTATAAAACTCAAGTATCTTATTGTAAATTGTGTATTTATAATACATTTTATTATTTATATATAGATGTTCAGTAAGTAAGGAAACATAAATTGTTATAAANTGTTCAGTAAATAAGGAAACATAAATTGTTATAAAAAAATGAAAACAATAGAAACCCGTTTCCTCACTCAACATTTCTATATAATACGGAGTGATTGATTAACTATACCTCACAAATTACTGCATAGTTCATCAATCACTCTATTTGTATTAATTTATTATCAATTCATTTTAAAGATGTGTAGTTCTTTTTTACTTGATAATTTATCCTATTTAGTTTTCTTGAATTGAACAATTTCCTAGTTATTCTGTATTGATGTTTTCCTTTTATTATAAAATTTGCAGTGTGAAATATTTTCTATTTATACAGAATGTTCAGTAAGTAAGGGAACTGTTAAATTGTTATAAACAATGAGAACAATTGAAACCATTTCCTTACTTACTGAACACCTATATAGTACAAGGAATGTAAAGAAAACTGCTCATCTCTTAAAGAAGCTTATTAATTTATTAAAAGGAAAATATACATTTTAAACAGATATAGTATATCTATTTATAGTAATCGATGATGAAAGTGTATATTAACAATATTTGAAAATTAATTAATAATAAAGGTATGTTTACAAGTAAAATAACGTTGAAGATATATATTTTATGACAAAATTGTGATTTTCTAAATCTTAAATTCATTTTGAATTTAATTGATTTTACTAATAAGATCATCAGGTGTGAGTTTTTATTAAATTATTTTTTTTATAAGCGTGTAAGAGGCTAATTAATACCTGCTATCTTAAGCTGGAATGATGCAATTAAAAATGAGTCAGTGCTGTGGTTTCTCGTTAACTTCTGAATTGGGTAACGTGATGTTCTATTTTTACTGATCGAATTCAAAGATGTCAATCATCTGAGGACCAACAGCGACAGGATTTTTTACTTACAAGGAAATAGTGTATCCATTGTCACACACTACACCTCTTATTTCTAAATTATACTACCTTTAAAGCAAGGTTTATAGGATTCTGTAACCTCGTTAAACAATTTTCAGCTTAACTTTTTATATATTGTACTAACTGATTTTAATGTGTTTTTGTAATTAAGTAATCCAAGTTATTACATTTTAAATACTGCGTGTTTAAAATGCCAAAATTTTCAATATTTACATTGGTCTCATGGGACGTTTTAAACTGCTTATTTACGTTTTAAGTAGTTTTTTTAACATGGATTTTAACAGTCCTGCTAGTAACTAACATAACAAACTGTTATACTCCCAATTTTTTTATTTACGATGTCAATTAATTTTTGTTAAAAGCTGCCTTATCCAGAAAACACAATTGCCAAAAAATGTGTCAAACACAAATTAATGAATAGTAATTATTACATTTTTTTCTTAATACAACTTAAAATTACCACTAAATATTTTTATTGTCTTAATTTGCGCCTAATATTTTGTTTTATTTCATTTGGATCATCAGAATTTTTTTGTAACTATTTGTTATATGTATTTTAATTTTTTTCAGCTGATTCACAGATGCGACACAATTTGTATAATAGAACATACTAATGGAAATTCACGAATCGTAGAATTTCTATTATGAAAAGTCGTTTTACTGTTACTTAACTGCTTTAATCTTCGTTTAAAAATGCATTAATTAGTAGTCAATAACTCTGACCATGTTGTATATACAGTAGTATAATTATGATTAAGTAAATTCTAGCATTTTTTTTTTCATTTTTATCAATATGGTCAAGCTTTAACGTACAGTTAAAGTTGATTAAAGCTATCCAATTAACATAATACTCCATTAACATAGATTGGGTTGAAAATTGAAACATTTATTAAAGTGCTTATAGTATAACTATATAGTAGTTTTACTATAAGCATTTTTAATTTTTAAACAGTACATAATGATTATTTTCATTAATTATAATAAAATGCTAATTTATTTATTTCAAATGTAAATCTTATTTTGCTTTAAAATTTTATTTAAAAAACTTGGAAAGGTTTAGTTCAAAATTATTTTATTTTAAATACAAATACTCGTGTATAGCACATCAGTTTTATCTATATTATGTAAAATTATTATGAGAATAGCGCAATGAGATTTATTTTTAGGTCTTTTTAAATGGGTCCCATTTAACCGGTTTTATAGAAATGTTAATTAAAAAAACTTGGCAATTATCTTTTCATCTGATAAACTATTTATGAGTATTAAATTGGATTTAATCAGGAATGGGTTTCTTCTTATTTTTTCTTTATTAATTTTAAATGAAAATATTTAAAGACTTTACAATTAATTCGATGTATGGTAACAAAAAAAAAAAAATTTCAAAGAAATTCATTTTGTTATTCCAATTACCCCTTTAATACTCTATTTTCCAATTAATTTTAAAAGTATTTTATACACTGCTATATATGAAACATGTACATTAAGGTTTTACAATAATAAGATTTATCATCTAATAAAAAAAAAAATATTTTTGAAAAAATTGTTACCTCAAGGTCAGTGTAAAGTCTTCATTTTATTTTCGATATACCTGTTAACCTCCCAATTACCTCTCTGTTCATAAGAAATAAGCTTTAATCTGACTTAAAAAAATGTTTTTATATTATAAAAATAAAGAATATTTTAAATTACATAAGTTTTACTTAAGATTTTGAAACAGTTTTACTACATAATAAAGTAATCTGTTAAAACTTATTATATATTATAATAACTTACAATTATAAGCTTACTTAAAAAATATAATTTGCTTTTTATTTAATATTGTATATTCTATAAAAAAATTAAATAATCAGTGTGTTGTGGATGTAAGTGATAGTTCGTTAAAATAGTTTTGTTTAAAGTAACATGTTCATAATTTCAATATATTTTTGTATTATGTTTTTTAAATGAAGTTTGATAAGAACTTGCTGTGATAAGATAATTAAATGGTAATAAAAATTGCATGCTTCTACTTTCCTTAATTCATGTTTCAAAAAAAAAGTTGGAAGGTCTAATGAGTTTGATCTTTTAAAAGAGAAACTTAAGTCTTAACATTTATTAAGTAGGTATATTATGTTTGTTTTTATTATCGTGTGAGTTTAATTAAACATTTTTAATTATTTAAAATTTCAATATCAAGTTGAATACAGCAAACTAGGTGTTTTATTTTTAATACTTTTAAAATTTATTGTTCCTCTTGATTTGTTGACTAT